ACGGTTAATTCAACAGGCTCCAGGTTCAGTGTTGCACAACATGATGGACGCTCAACTTCTTCGTTATTCTGATTTAGTGAAAGATGTTATGCTATGTTAGAAGAACTTCGTTCATCAAGGCCCTCCCCCTCGCGACCAGAAATGCCGATTTTCGTCAAAAATATCGATTTTGAGAAAAGCACATAGTTGGAAAGCCCTAAATGTCTACTTTCTAATGGCATAATTTTTGTGTAGATAGGATAGTTTTTAAGTGAGTTTTGCAGAACCAGGTGTTTACTGCAGAAAAAAAGGACTGTTTTGCACTTGTATTGCATAAGCGTACGCATGTGCCGTACACGTTCACTAGCTCCGCCATGACGGATAACTTATAGCAAAGTATCAACAAATTATTCAACACTTAAAGAGTTTTTAAGTAAAACCCATTTAACAGAATCAAACTTATTTTGCGTTTTTCTCAACAGTGAGCTTCAGGGCTTTCCTCACGCACAGGAATTCACGGTAACGATACATCGGAGAAAGTTTTTTTTTTTATCTGTAGGTAACAGCTATAGCTACGAGTTGACAGACTCCAATTTTTATATTATACTCCTATTTTTTTTATAGTAATGAGGATTTCTAAAATATCTTCCAAGGACTTTTCGGACTTTAAAGTTCTACTAAGCATCAGAAATTAGTAAATGAGAAATTCAAAAATCGGGTTCTGTCAACTCCTAGCCATAGGTGTTTACTGCAGAACAAAAACAGCCTGAGCTCTGTATCATTTACCTGGAATGAAAATTTTTGTTCGTGGTAGAAGCCTATTTCTGGCCCTTGTTGTAGCGCTCTCCCATGCGCAATTGCAAGTGGCGCCGAACAAAAATTTTTATTACCACACTTTGACATGGTCAACATTTTCTGAAATCTCGAGTTTTTGTAAAAATTACAGTGAAAACTAATATAGACAAAAAAAGCTGAGAGTTTGTGCTTTTTTTGTTCGAAAAATGCGAAAAATCGATATGTCTGTCTGCTCGGATCATATTCAACGAAAAATAATGTCTACTGGAAAGTATATGTAATACGTATATAATAGAGATCGAAACCAAATCAAGTCAAAATTTACCCTCTTTATCCAACACATCAGTGATCTCCCTATTAACTTCCAACAACAAGCATCAAAATTCATTCCAATATAAGGTTCAAGTTCTCCACGCCTTTCGCTTTTGCGAACTGTATAAATCTTTTTGATTGACAAGTCTACTAGCACGACTATTGTTTATATTCTCATTAGAGAACAACCAATTTCTGTTGATTTATTCTAATATTGCTAATTTTGGAGCAAACGGATACATGTGCAACTACTTCTATTTTCAGATATCTAGTAGGGTTTTTAGTTTTTTTTGTAGCACTCGTGGTTACCCACCAGCCTATTAAGTTTTTACACGTTTCTAGTCAATACACAGATGCGGTTCTATTATTGCTACGATGGGTGTTAGTCGCTTCGATTACACAAGCCGCATCACAGTTATGAATAAATATGGATGTAATCATATATTACTCTTCTGCACATCCTATTTCGCTAGTTGAGATGGCAACTGAGTTTGAAAAACTGGAGTTCAAAACCAAACATCGATGTTTTCCAGCTGAAAAACTGCGTAATTTCATTCAACCAAAAGCATTGGTAACTAACTACAGTTCAGACAGGGTTATTGAGATAGAGTTCGAGTGAAAATAAAAGTTAGTTCACTCATTTTCATAAAACGTGTGTCACTATAAGAAAAAGGTTATATCGACGCTAATTGTGTAAATTCAGAAACTAGTACTTTTACCTATCAATAAGAACACACATTTCTTTTAATCTTGCTCAAGTTCAGATTCATATTGTAACTCCTTTTTGACGCTTTCTGAATTCGTCCAAATCGATAGATTTAGTATGAAGATACCAAATCCTCAGGGAATTTTTATGCGGAATGTAGATATATTTTACTTATGACAATGAAGCAATTGTTTTTTTATATGAATCGAATTGAATCGAATTCGAATCAAGATTTTCTTATTCGTTTCGATCGCTGATCTAGAATACGACACTATCGTTTTTGACACATAAACATGCCACGTTTTATTTTAGTGTATATATTTATGAATGAACTAGGGAGAAATCAAAAATACTGGAAAAGTAACATGAACAAGAAGAGAAAATACCTGAACAATATCAAAAGGGGAACGCAGGAAAATATTTGAAGATGCAGAAAATGAAAAAGGAAAAAGTATACATATGTATGTTGTTCTTATCATCTCTACGACATAGTAAGAGAGAAGACAAAAGGAAGAAAAAAAAACATGCATTAATCTCACTATAACAGCACTATAGTTTGAAATCATTGGATCTACTCAGTTTTGTTATGATTATTGGATAGGTCTGTCTTTTTGACTTTACTATCTTCGGTCGTCTGATGCTGGAGAGCTCGATTGGGCTGACCGAAACGAGGTATACTATGCTGATCAAACCACTGCGAAGTATTAATGCTTCGAATTTCTCCAGTCGCATCAATGGCTGCCTCAGTGGATGTCAGTAGATGTTAGCATACGCGTGCGTTTTTGGCTCGATATTGCGCACTACTGCTGGTGATTGTTCGTGCAATTTGATCGACTTTCACCGACATATCGTAAGCGGCTTCTTCAAATCTATTCAGCTCCTTCATCAGAGACCGATTAGCGGCAGATAATTTGACTAGCTGATCACAAATAGTGGTGAGAAATACAATTGCGTTTTTCTGATGTCGTGTCCACAAGTGGTGAACTATGGCAACGACAGAGATTGCCAAGCCACCTCCGAGCATTAAACCGCCAATAATCGGATGGGCTGTGATGAGAGCTGAAGCGCCACCTGTACTTGAAACGAACGAGACGCTACGCAAAGCACCTTGCTCACATGCGAGTTCTGCAAGAGCACCGCCAAGAGCGCTTGATAATGCTGGGCCCAAAAAGTAAAAGTATTGAGCAAAGTTAACGCGACGCTGAGCAGTATCACTTTTAGCAGCGACTATTACTTGGAATTCCTTCAGACGCTGATCAAGTTCATGACTATGGCGTTGGTCAACACGTGCGTTTTTTATCATAGCACGAACTCCTTCGGCCAGCTCCTTCAAAGCCAGATTTACATCTGTTTGATCGGTAGAACTTAAAGGAGCTTCAGACGAAGATGGTTGTAATGCATTTGTGAGTACGTCAATGTGCTCGCGTGCTTCGCTAAGATGTGGCAGTAGCATGGCCATATTGTGCTGTGTGGTAAGAACGAGTTCACCAAACTCACTCGTGAGCATCTCGAAATGATTGGCAATTTCGCTGTACTGACCCATTTCTCGACGCATATCGGCAAGAAGTTTTGCGATACTGTACACAAGTTGTGGAATCATTTTGAGCCGTTTTGTCATAGAAGCCGAGACGAAATTACTTGATAGTGACATAAAATCGATGAAACGTCGTGTTTGCTCATCATCCAAAAGGCCATGGTTGAACGCAACATCAGTCAATTCAGCATGGCTCATGGCTGGTATATCAATCTCATCTACCTCAGAACGTTCTTGAATGACGTCAGTTACGGCTGTGCTTAGTGCATCGAGTAGATCGTGTTGTGCTTGAACTACATTATCTTCAGATGGAACAGTCTTTTTCTCATGATCAAGTGATGCGGACGAAGTGTTGTCTTCTGGCATGATATAAAGTCTGGTAATGAGAAATGTTATTTACAGACGTTTTATATTCACATGATTGGAAAAATCCAACAGGAAAGTCGGAAATTATGATGTTGCAAGAACAGCTTACATACTTCTCTTCGTTCTTTTTTTTAATATTTTTTGCATCTATATCTTTTCTCTGTTTGATTTTTCTTTCTCCACTTTCCTTTTCTTCTTTTCTCTCTGCCATTATTTTGTTTTTGCCTCGCTACTATTTTTTCTTTCTTTCATTTTTATGTTTTTTTCCTTCTTCTTCATATTTGTTGATCTTAGTATCCTATACTAATAATGACGCCGTTCTCTCGCTGTTACAGGTTCAAAAGACGTTTGAGTGTGGGTGGCTAAAGGTTACAAGTTAGAGACAGTGAGAGTAAAGGGTGAAAAAGCAGTATTAATACCAAAAAAAATACGGTACACATACTACTCACATACCGCTCCCCTACCCAAATACCAATTGAAACTTCTGTTTCCCAAAACAGAACAATCCTGTAATTTTATTCGGAAAATTTCCCGGACAAAGGAGCAATTGCGTTCTGTTCTGGGAGTTCTTTCCCCATATACAGAACTCTTTTGTTCTGCTTGCGGATCTACGCCGATTCATGCGGATCTACGCGAATCCATGCGAATACAATTTTATTGAACTGAACTGTCCCAGAAATCTGTTCCCACAAGCAAAACAAAAATGTTCTGTCTGTGGGAAAAGAATTCACAGAACGGAACACAATTGTCCCGTTATCCAGGAAATTCTTTCAATAAAAGAACCGGACTGTTCTGTTTCGGGAACACGATTGTCCTGTTTCGCGACTCAGACTGTTCTGTTTTGGGAACAGGATTGTGCTGTTTTCGCGGGAGAATATTGAGACGGATCTGTGGGGATCTTGGCGGATGTACGGGGATCCCGGATCCGCCTTTTCCCCCTTGAGTAAATGTGTGTTGAAAGAAAAATTTTATATCCATACCGTTTAGTAATTCATTTGTAAAAGAAATTAGAGATTTGTATTCTCCTGTAGAACATCCAATGGTTGATGCAATTAAATGTTTAGTTAATTCTGGTTTTTCTGCATCATCCATATTTGGTAGCAATTTGGTCAAGCATGTCAAATGAGTATCGATAGACATTGGAATTTCATTGATAATTGCCATGCGAAATTCTTTTAATGTTTTTGTGAGAAGCTCGTTTCTTTCTTGTATATCTTTAATTTCCTTTTCCATATTATTAATTTTGACCTAAAATTTTCAAAAAAAAGTTACCGTAGAGATGTGGGAAAAGCACTACTCTTAGAAGACACCGTTCTGCAGTTGTTATTCAATAATCAGAAAGAAATAGCTGATTATATACGGAGTGAGAATGCTTTGTTTTTGTCTTCCGATAACAGAAGGACACAGTCAGGAGAAGAGAGAACGCCAGCAATTCTTATATATTCCTATATTACTTTCTCCAGTTCACAAAGAACGTACGTCTGTAAGAAGAGGAACAAGAAACGTCTAATGAGAATAGACTATGTGAACAAACTAGTTTTCATTTCCCTACGTCGAAGAACGTATTCTTTCTTTTAATATCGATATGATATTTTTCGTTCAGCATGGAAAGAAAAAAGTACTCGCTTTAATCAGCAAGATGATAGCCATTTTATTTCACAAAAGTTACGACTCTATTGAAACTACGTATGAATGATGCGCAACTATTTTTCAAATTAGCAAAAAAAATGAAAGTAAGTTTAAACAAAAACTGAGTAGTGTATTTTGCTCCCCATCGTTCAGTCAGTGTCTGATGTGAATTTCCCTGCTATCGCACGCACCTTGGCTGAGAAACTCATGCCTCAGTTTTCAAATACCTCAATCAGAAAGTCAGTTTGAGAAAAGAATCACATTTTTTTAATGAAAACACAGAGCGTCACGCACCATTCGACGCCGCTCTATGTGACGAATCGAAAGGTGTACAAAACATGACCTTTTGACCTTATCCCAGCACATCAGAATCTGAAAAACTTTTTAGCCAGAAGTTTCGAAATCAGACATGGGCATATCAGAGACCTCTCAAGTCGTAGGCAAATCACGTCATTCAAAACTTTTTCCAAGCCAAATCTTTCGTGATTTCTTTCCCGAGTGGAAGTGATTTTCAAGTCAAGTGAAGATTTTTTTGGAAGAATCGAGAGTTTTTTTCTTTAGATTTTCTTAACCTTGGAGATTGGAATTTGGATTCGCTGTAGAAGAAAGGCTGAAGCGATTTTTTGCAAAAAATCTCAATTTTCTGTACGAAAAAATCCAAAAAGACTTGACTTAAACTTCAAAGGTTGTCCAAGTCAAATCACGTCATGAGGTTCTTTTCCGGAGGCCAAGTCAAGCCCAGACAAGTCATAAAAGTCCTTAACTTCACTTTTTTCTGCTCGATCTTGTGTGAAAGTTTCATGGAGTTTGGACGAATCCATCAGAAGTTATAGCAGAAACAATTTCAAAAAAAGATCAAACACGGCGAGCTGTTGAGATACGAACTGTAAGTTTGTATGGTGGTGGGACACACAAAAGTGTGTAAAAGACAAAATTTGGGCCATAAGAAATTAATGCGGAAAAACCGTAAACAACCAATTCTACAAAAAAGTTGCGCATTACTCATATATTTCAACATACTTGAATTCGTCGAGACTGTTGTTCTATTGCATCTATCAAAACGGGATGTAATGACGTTGTGCTTTCCTGTGTCTGTTGTTCGTCATCTGCAATTTGGAAACGGATGTAACAAAAGAAATGAATAAAAAAGCAGTTAATTCTTGCGCTTACCGACTAACTGCAACTGTTTTAATTTATTATTCGATGTTAATGTTACTGATTGATAAAGACTCTTCATATCAATATCTGACAGTTTTATTTGATTTTCATTCATTTGTTTGAAATTAACGGAAGGATCAAATTGAACGAGCATCGATTGTTTGTGTATTATATCGGTTTCATCCTTTTGTAAGACAAATAATGAAGTGTTCGCTTGTTTTTCATACCAGTTAACAGTTATTTCATCTCCGTCAATTTTCGTTATTTTGCAAAGCCAAAACAAATCTAAAAAGAAGTGAATGTTAGAGTACGAACAGATTTTTTTCTCAAATCATAAACTGTTGATCACACACCGTTATAGCAGCTAACGATTTGTCCAATTTTTAATCTAGTCATGCTTTTAGTTATCTAAAATGAAATTTGACAGTTCACACCTGTATAATAGCAACGGCAAATTCCGCTTCAAAAATAATCATGTGTAGAAACAAAAGCGAATAAAGATAGTGGAAGAAGACTGGCGAAGCAGTTCATTATGCAAGTCATTGTTGTCTGTAAACAGCGAGACTTAGACGCATCATTACTGTCGTCCGACGGTTCCTTTTTTTGGACCGGAAGCGCAAAAATTTCCTTGTCAGAACCGGAATCGATTGGAACCGAAGAATATTTTGTCGCTATTTAACGTCAATTTTTTTTTGCTCAACGCTCAAAAATCATTATGTGTAGCATTTAAAAAAGCAGAGGCTAATTGTATATCCTTTTTTTCGAAAATCTTCTACCATTTTCTCAGAAAAATCTTGAAAATTAAAAAAATTTATCCAAATCGGTTCCGGAGAAAAAGCGTTTTCGGAATAGGAACCGGAAAATTTTTGTTTTTTGGAACCGGACTCGGAATCGCCAAACTCTAATCATTACAGAGGAAAAGTTAGTAGTTTCCAAGACATCCAGACCAGGATTTTATCTTCAGCGTGGCCAGCTGAGGTTCACCTTCAAGTCAGAATGTTAGATATTTTCTCTTTAACAGTAATAAAAAAACCCGGATGACACAAAAATAATGGAGTCCGGTAACAATAAGTATTGCAAACTATCATTTTTGAAAACCAACTAGATATTCTGAAAGCACATTCCTGTCGGAACAACGTTTATGTGTAAGGGTCATGAGCCAGACAGTCGCTGTTGTTCCTCACTCTCTCTTTTTCAATAAAGCCACAAATACACAACAAAGGTAAACGAAGCCTTGATATTTTTGCATATAAATCAAGCTGAGATTATGCTCTTTACCCAGCCAATCTCAACCTATCTCCACATCCCCCCACGTGAATTCTTCACAATTATTGGTATCTTTATTATAATAAAATTGTGGAAACATTCCTTTACACATGCCCGTCTCTGGCTCTATATTTTTGGACGGACGGCGAATACTGATACGATAAATAGTGTGCTCGTTAATAAGAGTAACAAATCAACTTTCGACTGTATCATTGTTGCAAATTATAAATACTTTTTCTGAAAAATAATGTTTAAACAATAATGATGACTGAAATACGCTAGTTAGAAAATATGACATAAAGTTTATAATTTCACTACATTATTTATATACACTTCCTCTCATACGTTCTTCTCTATTGTACAATATAATTACGTTGTTGTTATTAGAAAACTCTATAGACCCAATATAGTCTATAGAGTTTTCTTTGGAAAATTACTATAAAAAGCTGCCGCTTCACTGTTTTAATCTAAAGCATTCAAAAAGATAGAACGACATCGAAGTATTTAACAAAAATAAAAAAACTGTCGATTTGTATGGACGAGAAAAACCACATTAGTTACATGAGGTTAAATCTATGTTCATAAAAAGTCATTCCCTGTTCTGTATGACGCCCTTGTTATCTGACGACAATGAATTTCACATGTTCTAGTTATAATAAGACTAGCTAGTCCTATTATATAGAAAAGAAAAAACGTTGATGTTTTGTTTCAACAAAGTGGTGACACATGTGAAATTCATTGTCGTCAGATAACAAGGGCGTCATACAGAACAGGGAATGAATTTTTATGAATACAGGTTTAACCTCATGTAACTAATGTAGTTTTTCTTGTCTGGCGACCAATGTTTTCAAGGCTTTAAAAATCATTTAAAAATAAGAGGTTTCCTAAGGGGTTTCAAATCATGCTCTTTCTTTGTCTAACGGAAAGTTTGATCCAAAAAGCCTGAAGGTACGGTTTATAGGAAATTGTGACTTTTAGCCTACCTGTACCGAAAAAAAACTTTTTTAGAAAAACCTTCGCATTTAAAACTTTTTGGGAAAGGACACTGTATCCAGGGCGTGCTACATTTTGAAAAAAAGTCAAGTCTCCAACTCTAAGTTTGAATTTTTAAGTAGGGCTGTCACGTTAACGTTACGTTAAAATTAACGTTAACGGTAAACGAAAATTAACGTTAAATCTGACAGGCCTATTTTTAAGCTTAATTTTAAATTTTAAAGTTTGAACTATTTTTAACATTTAAACAACTCAACACTTGAAAGTGATGGAGACTTTGACCAAATAGCATTCGATAAAGAATCCAAAACTGAACAAAAGTAGATATTTGACTAGGTTGCGGTATTATATGATCCCGATTTTCTAGAAATTCTTGCACGAAGAAAATGAAAAAAAATTTTTGTTCGTTTTCAACTGATTAATAAATTTTTTAATGAAAGGCAGTGACAACAGTATGTCGGACTGAGGCTATGGACCGCCTTTCAACGATTCTGATGTATTTATGCACTAGTTCCATCATCAGTTACAATCTTTCTGTCTATGCCGTGTGATGCATTTCCGTGTGCAACAGGGTTCGAAACAGGCCAACATTTAACAGGTCTAGTCCACCAGGCCTGTGTGGACCAGACCAGTGGATATATTTCTTGCGCCTTGCCTACCTGCCGTTACCTTCGGCTTAGGCTGTAGAAGCCTGGTGATCTTTTTGAATATGATATAGTAGATATTTCAGCATAATATACAAATAATAGCAACATTAGATAAAAACAAAAGTGACAGAAAACAAAACAATATAGGCAAATCGAAGCACCTCCTGCTTCTGATGATCTGTACTTTTATTCATTTTTGATAATTATATATTGCTTCGGATCACCTTTTCGTTTTAGCAAGCCCTCAATTCAGGACGATGACATTTTAAGCGCGCGGTGGAAGATGTAGATGAAGGTGAAAAATGGTCGGAAGAGATTTTGATATTATCATCAGACATTTTAACAGAAATTTAATTTAAATTTATTATTGATGTGAAATGTAAGAAAATTAACCCGAAAATGATAGTACGTGGTCAGACAGATAAGTGTGTCCGCTTTAATGTCACCAATGCACCCAAATATCAGAAAAGTGGTCCTCAAATTCACCGGATAAAAGTTTTAAGTTTAAACAGACCATAAATAATATTTCATTTTCTCACATTTCTTTCTTCTGGCCAAGCACCATTACCGAGATATTCGCCGAGGGCACCACTAAAGTGCAGTGTCGAGGACATGTCTAGTGGTGCCCTCGGCGAATATCTCGGTAACGGTGCTTGGCCAGAAGAAAGAAATGTGAGAAAATGAAATATTATTTATGGTCTGTTTAAACTTAAAACTTTTATCCGGTGAAT